AAAAACTATTAATAAATTTACTTGAATATTCTATTTAGGATTTACTAAATTTTTTTCTCAAATATTGAATAAGATAGTGGCGTGAAGTGCTACCTATCACACTAGTATACAATATGTCATGGGAAGTTTTACTTTAGATGACCCCAAACAAGGAATTTAATTATTCACTAAATTAGTAATGATCTGACATTTATTATAAAATTAATTAATTAACGAAAAAATTTTTAGACTTCTAATTAGCAAAAACACCCCTAATCCATCTTTGACTCAGTCTAAGGATTAGATATTATAGGTAGTAGTAAAATTATTTAACCCATTGGGTATTTATAATTTGCAAGGTTGGTTATGCAAATAATTAAAGAAAATGGATAGTAAGTTCATTATTATTGTTTATATATTTGCTTATATTCATTATAATTTTCAGGTATTATTTCTATTTGACAAATTTTTCAAATAAAAAAAGAGAATTAAAAAATTATCAATTTTATAGAAAAATGCAATTGTCAGCTGTTTTACAGTCTCTCAATGGTGATACTAAAAAATGTATTATGGAATGGGTGAATATTGTTCGAGCAAAACATAGTTCAGATGATGTTGATAGCGATGATGATTATAATATAGCTTATTATGGAAACCCTCTTCTTATAATTGAATGAAATGAAACAGGATTTATTCAACAAAATATTCAAAAAATATTGTAGTGAATTGTATATATATAAATTATTGTAATTTATATTAACTGAGAAGATTTTAACAAATAATATTTTGCTTTACAGATATTTGTATATTTCAAGATTGTAATTCTTTTCCAGGTGCTGATCTACTTCCATCAAATTCTTTTTTCTATATTGTTGACACACAAAATATTGAAGCTCATACAAATAATCAGTAACATAGTGCATGGATTATGACAAACATACTTGCAGAGAAATATAACTTCTTTAAGAAGAGTCTATACTGTAGTTGTGAGATAAAAAAATACATTTAAAGTTACTGAAATTTTTGATATTTTTTCTTTGTAATTTGCATGTAAATTTTAATTTTAATATTATATATAAATTTGTAAGCATAATATTGCTTATGTGAAATCATAAAATTTTTCAACAATATGATCTTTTTTTTATTCTCGTATGTCCTATAATATTAGGAAAGCTTTTTTGTCTCATTCTACCATTCAGTTTAAAAGAAAATTAAGTGTGAATATTTGGAATTTAAAGTTTTACAAATGTATTACTGCATTACAAATCAATGATATAAAAAGACATATCCCTAATAAAAATATTGTTTCATTTTGTGCAGAATTTCGCAGTAGTAATGAATTTTTGTGTATTTTTTTTTTTTTTAAGATTTAAGTCACCAAATTTGACTAGATATTGCTAGTTTTTAAAGTCCTTAATATAAATTGAAATGCCCAAGACTATTTTGTAAATTTAGAGTGTTTAAATAACGATTAATTTCCGTGATGCTATATTCTAATATTCTTTTTTACAAAGATAATATATATTCGACCTCAGAATTCATAGGATAATTTTTCGTATAATTGGCTGATTAAATGTGTTAAATTTTACAGTACTTTTAAAAAAGTAAAACTACAAAGAATCAATAAAAAAAGAAGCATATAGAAAGCTAAATTAAGATTGTAAGACTCCACGATTGAAAAGGCTTCTTAAAAATAGAAATAGATTATTATCATGCTAACTTCTCTAAAACAAAAAAGTGATTTGCTATTTTCAATATTGAGCCTTACAACCTTAATAAACCTTTCTTTTTATATACTTCTTTTCTATTTATTTTTGTAATTTTATTTTTTTTAAAAATACTTTAAAATGTATGAAGGTGTAAAATTAATTGATTTAAACAGCCAACATATGAAAGTCTTTCTATGATATGTAACCAAAAAGAAGAATACCATTTAAAGCACCCAGGCTAATTTACATTCTACACACACATGTGGGTGCATTACATGGAAAAAGTCTATAGCAGTATAAATATATTGTTAATTATATTTTTTAGCATGAGGAATACAATATAACATTTGTTCATAAATTACAACCATCCTATTGTCACGATTACGAATGATTTTTGTAATATAGATATACTAATGTAGAAGCAAAAATTGTAAAATATTATATTTATGTTGAATAATTAACTAAGCAATGCAACTAAGCAATGCAACTTCTCAATCGTATAATCGGAATATTGATTGTATTTTTGCATGTCATTAGTGGGAATGGAATTTAAGTAAATTTGGAAATTCTTTGGATTTTATGGTCGAATGTAGATTGTATAAAATAAAATCACGTAACCTAAAATTATATTTTCCTTAAAATTATATTCCAAATGCAGTTCCCACCTAGAAAAATATGTCAATTTTTGAGTAATTTGTTATTGTCGATATTCTAGCAATTTTGAAATGATAATTATATAATCACATGGGCTAGTGCTGGAAAAAGGGTCAAATTGACAATTTTTTCAAAATAAATTTTTTATAAATTAGCTCAAAACCATTTTTTACTTAATAAAATTTTACAGTATAATCTTTTGACATCTGTATTTTTATATCGATTTTATTGTATAAAAATTAAATTTCTCAAGACTTATTTTTGTATTTTTGTCAATTTGGTCCCTTTCTCCAACACCCACATAATATAATTGAAACCTAATATACGCAATGAACAAATTAAAAAATTTATGCCATATATTTTTTGTTCTAAAAAATCATAATTCTTGAAACATACATGAAATTTTATCTATAATGAATTCATAAATTTGGAGTAAAGAAAATTCAAATGAGCGAAACAACTCATGTGTATATAAGCAAACATTGTTATATATAGAAACTCTATATTTTTTGAAAGTAAACTCGAACCTTCATTTAAAGTAAAATATTTAAATCGCAAAAAATCTATAACAGAAAATAAAGAAAACCTTTTCTAAGTTACAGTAATAAATATAACCTTTGTGGTTACTTTTACTATTAATACAACTAAACGCTTGATGAACAAAGTTTCATAAATACGAATTTTCATTTATTCCAAATAAACTGGTTTATATTCCAGAGATTTCAACCTAATAAGAATTTGTTCGATTACCGGTCGTTTAGAAGGATTTTCATGCCAACATTCAGAATACAATTCAATATATTGCAAGGGAGTTTCATTTATGGGCTCCTCTCGCAAGCCATTTTTGGAGATTTGAAGACAAAGTGCAACTAAATCTTTTCCTTGAAAAGGGATTTTGCAGCTTGAGAGTTCCCAAAGAAGGACGCCAATACTGTAAATGTCTGATTTTTCATCCAGAACGT